CTAAAAGAACTATTGTAATCTAGCATTTATTTTCTTCTTGAATTATTTTTTTCTTAAGTTACTAGGTATACTTTCGTTAATTAATACAAAATCATTAATTAATTTTCATAAATTATTTACCGAGCTCGTTTCTCTCTTTTACCATCAAAAATAAAATTAACCGCGCTCATTTGTATGTTTTCAGAGTATAAATTAATTTTCGAGCTCAAAACTAATTTATATAAGAGAATGGAAAGAGATAACGATTACTAGTTTTCACCACACGATAGTCAAAATCTTCTAGAATTTTTACTTACAATCGCTACATACATTTATTTTTCTTCCGGTTCGGGTCGCTTTGCAGGTCTCTAGTCTCCACATATGTTTCAAACTGATGTTCCTAGACTGAGTTATGAAAATTTTTCCAGAAAAAACCTCACATTTCAAAAGCGATCCTCAATCTTAAAAGAGTTGTCTTTTAGTAACTATTAGGCGCCAGCAAAGAAAATTCATAGTGTAGGTAGAGGAGAGTCAGGGCTACATTTTAGCAAAAACAGAAAAAGTTTTCATCTCTCTTGAATCAAGAATTAATAGCATTTTACGAGAAAAAAAATTAAACGTTTATATATCATGAACCGTTCAGTAAAAGGCTAAACTTGCTGAATGAGCAGCATTCAGTGAATGCTATATCTACACAAAATTAGAAGTCTTAAGCTATCAGGGTTCTTGAGTTGCAGGATGAGGATATTTTTGAAGAGTACTCTAGGCCACCGGTGATCTACATTACCGCCAATGTGTTAGATAACTTTTTAATTAATTGCTAGAGCTGAACGTTCTTTCGACCTTTTAAAAATTTTTTTCTCGAAATCTCATAAGGCTCAAGCCTGCGGAAGCTTATGGCTCCACAGTCTATACTTGAAATTTCAATTTCAAACTACGGGTTTATCTTACACAGTTCTGAAGTTTTGATGTGGTACTTCGGCTTGTCCAAACGTAACGCTGTTACGTTTCTGACGCACTTTTTTTTAATTATCTCGGAAAGTTTGAAAGCTAGAAAGTTCGTTCGAACGCCAGTCGGCGCAACTCATCATACTCTGTGTATGCTATAAAAATGAAGTCTCGAGCTTCGAGAAAGGTTTTTTCATCGTTTATTCGTAGCGCTGTTACATAAACAGACCCTAAACTCGGAGTGCTCTTGCTAAAGTTCTAATTACCTGCGAAAGTCGTTCTCCAAATGAAATGTCACTCAACGTTCTTCAGACAACTTCATACTTATAGCTTGAGTACTTCTAGTCTTCTTGAAGATACTCCACTTGCAAATAAAGTTTCAAAAGTTACCTCAGGCTTTTAAATCGAGTCAGAAGTTGAAACTTACAAACATTCCTTGTGCCTCGACTGAGAAATATTTCTCAAAACAAAATGAGCCATTTTGTAGAGAATTGACTTCTCTATTCGATAATATATTTTTAAAATTGTTTTACGAAAATCTCTGCCTCAGAAAATTAAAATTACAGTTTGCAAAAACTTTAAATTAAAATTTTTTAGTTGAAAACTCAGTTTTTTCAAAATAAAGGCCGAACTCGTGATCAACATAAAAGACTACGTCTGATGATCGATTTCCCGATGAAAAAAATAAAAACAAAACTTGATCAGTGAAGTGTCGCGTTACGTGGATAAGTCGACTTAAGAAGAATGCAGTCGGTTTCTACCAATATTTTGAGAAGGTAATTAAAACATAACTTCAGGTTTAAAGTAGAACGTCACATATACAAACTAACGAGGGAACCTTTTCAGGTGTCCAACCGCTTTTCTAACGAAATGCTGTAGTGTATAGGTAATCGACCATGCTGATTCCGAATATGTTAGCCGTTTTATCCCATAGACCTTTCTTAACCAATTTCTGGAAAACTAATTTTCCAGAAATCTCGAAAACTCCTCAAGAGTTTTTCTGAATAAGTAGTCACGACTGTAGCTCGCAAAGTTCTGATTCAAATGAGACATAGCCCAGCTCTACACGACCTTTCTTTGCAAAGTTATAGAATTTACAAGAAAAGCCCTAAATGTTCATTGTCAGCTCAAAGCTACAGAAAGAAGAAGGAAAGGTGAATTTAGGGCTTTTCTTGTGAATTCTATAACTTTGCAAAGAAAGGTCGTGTAGAGCTGGGCGATGTCTCATTTTAATCAGAACTTTGCGAGCTACGGTCGTGACTACTTATTCAGAAAAACTCTTGAGGAGTTTTCGAGGTTTCTGGTTAAATTAGTTTTCCAGAAACTGGTTAGGAAAGGTCTATGGGCAAAAACGGCTAACATATTCGGAATCAGCATGATCGATTTCGTTAGAAAAGTGGTCGGACACCTGGAAAGGTTCCCTCGTAAGACTATCAGTGCCCTTACATATGCACAATATTCAAAAAGCGTTCTCTTTCTATGTTCTGTTTTGTATCTATTGTTTTTATTTATAATATACCCGAAGTGTACACTACATTACAGATGCTAGAATAAGATTATTTCTTTATAGTGTTTTTTCTGTTCTTCGTCGCTTGCGTCAACATAAATGCAAAAGAAAAACACTCAATCTTCTTCATGCAAAAAATTTGACATTTATGAGGACGTTGGAAAGACTCATCATCATAAAAATAAAAAATAATTGTTCCTAATTGTTTAATTACTTAATGTAAGTTCAACACCTAATGATTTTAATTTATGTTCATTTCTTTCATAGATTCCACGTAAATCATTATGATGTTTATCTCTATCACATCCAATTGAAAAATTAGCTGTATGCATTCGATGTAAATGTGATATAACTGGTAAATAAACCGGATGATCACCATGAATTAAAAAACGAGTATATAAATCTAGATCTTCAGCCATTCCAACACTTTCATCATATTCACCAACATCTTCAAATAATTTTTTACTAAAACATACATTTCCTAAAAAAGTCAAAAAAAAATAATAATATTCTAATGAATATATATGCAACGGATAGAAATTGAATACTAACCTTGAATAAAATGACAACTATCAAATATGGCTTGTAACATTTCTTTACAATCTTTAAATACCCAACCATAGTAATCTTCTTTTGGCATATATTGTAAATGTTCGTTAACTCTAAAAAATAATTAAAACAAATCTTTGACACAATAATTTTTATTTCATGATGAAAATTACCTCAAAAAATCTGATATAAAAAATTGTTTATTTTTATTTTGTCTAATAGCAGAACCAAAATTATGTAGACATCGTTGTAAGAACACGTCATCATCATCCTAAAAATTCAAATTAGTTAGGAAACAAATGATTGAGAAACTAAATTTCGTCTATTTCTTCTTTTGGAAAGATTTGACTACTGTTAATATAAAGTATACTAGTGAGAATTCTTAGCTTAACTTACGAGAACACAAATAAATTGTCCTTTAGTTTGTCTAATACAAATATTTCTTTCTTGAGATGGTGGTACTTTATGTTCAGATCGAATAAAAAAGAATATTTTGAACAAAATTTACCG